CAGCTACGTCTTTCAAATTATATTATCCCTGCCACTCTGAACAACACAAATGAGATCATACTTGCAGTGGCATACTCAGCTCCTGTTTATCTGCTCGAAAACTTAGACACATTACAAACCACTCTGCTCTCTGCTACTTTCACTTGAAGAAAATTTTGAACTCCAGTCTTTAAAACAGTCTGTGTCCTGGGGCAGTATTTTAGAAAACAACTTTCAGTACTGGGACTGTCACAGATATCCTTGCCTCACAGTCCACCAGGAGGAGGCATTTATAATTTCCCAATACAAAAATGAGATCATGGCAAGGTAGGAAAAGTCCCAAGCTAAACACTGTCAAGACCCTGCTCTGCACCCAGAGTCCTCCCATTTGGAGTGAGGAAAGAGAAAACCACCTGTAACAAAAGCACTGATTTTCAGTAGAGGGTGTTGTGGCAATAACAGTCAGAAAATTATATGACCAGCACCAAAGAGAAGGGCAGTGATGCTGCCTATTCTATAGCTATAGGATTAACAGTGCAGATAGTGGGCAGCACCCTTTAGAGCATAGCTCAATCCCATTTGAAGAGTATGGTGAATCATCTGCACTGATACAGCTAACACTCCTTGGAAAACACCACCACATCTGTAGAAATCTTGGTGACTCTTCACTGTCCCCCTGCACTGACACAGCCCTGCATTACTAGGCATCAATGTAACTCGCTCAAATCATCAAAATGGCAAATGAAGAAAGGGAAGGAGAGACTTCTGCCTTCTCAGGTTTGCTCCCCCATCTCTGCTGGGGATTCCTTTACTGCACAACCAGCCTGAGTATTATTGCCATTTACAGTAGCAATCACTCCGTCCCCTCCTCTCCCACAAACCTAGTGCTGATATTAGCACTGATCACACTAACAAGCCTTTGGGTTTTATTACTACTGATACTAATAATACTGGACACATTACGTCTGCTCCCACCAATAACAGGCTGCAGATATGATCCCTGCTAATGCCGATAATACTGGGGGATATTATCTCTGCCATTGTCGGCACTGCAGATATTATTGCCAGTAATGCTGTCAAATACTACAGATACTGTCAAGGACCAAGATTAATAATGCTGAGAATGTTACAGCACCAACCTCACTGGAAGATGAATCCCAAATGAGAATTTGGGTTTAGACAGAAAGTCTGTTCACAGCCTATTACAGAAAGAAAGGGCCACGTTTCATAAGAATGGTTTTGTAAAAATCGCCAGTTTCACCCAGCTGAAGATGCTGTGGCATGTTGGCAGCAGCTTGATATACTCTTTTCCTGTTATCTAATTATCTATCTTTATCCATCTATCTGTCTATTTATCTGTCTTTCGCTTTCTCTGCATTTCTCCTTTTTTCTCCTTGTACAGTGCTCAAGACTACAGTATGAGTGATACTAAGTCTTTGTCAGTGCCTCTGGGTCACCCCAGTTCTCGTTCTTTTAGCTGTCAATTAAGGGGTTATGAAACAGAAGAAATAGTTGCATAGTTTTCCCCTTTGTCCTTCTGGACATTATATTGCTGCCTCTTAGCCTGGCAGTGACCCTGCTGAGCATGGTTGGCCTGTCATCACAGAGTACGACAACACTCAAACCATAAAGAGTCAGGAATTCACATTTTCTGATGCAATTTGATAATGTAAGACCCTCACTGGTCTTAAGAAAGTCATTACATGCTGCAGGGTCATCTCTGCCTTTGGAAGAGGGTGAGTGTAAATGATGGTGGGTGTAAGTTCAGAGGGAAGTTACAGCTCCACTGGCAGTGCCCACAGACCACAATAAATAGCACACACTGTGCTACACAAATGGTGGTGAACTTTTTTAGTTAAATTAGTTTCAGACCAACTCTATAACAGAAGTCAGAAGTTTTGTAATCACGGGTTATAAACTGAAACAAAAGGCTAATGTGGTCTTAATAAGGTAAATCTTGACCATCCGTTCCTGGCATTCACATGAGGAAGACATACTGAGTTTTGAGGAAAGACTCGTGGCCAGATAGGTCCTTATTGTGAGTAGTAGACATTCAGAGCTGCTTCACAGCTGGCTCTCTCCCAATGTCCTACATTTCCCAGGCCACCCTTGCACTTGCAACCAGTGTATTTGGTAGGTTGGGATTCCCTCTCTTCCGTCTAAGTCCCTGTGAGGGACACACCTGGCTGTCAGTGTCCATCTCTGAGCCCACCTCATGCATCCGTCTGGCTCCTTCTGTCCAGCTCGGGAGTTCTGCTACATCATCTTGACACATAATTATCTCTCCTCTTCTTAATCATCTGTGCTACTGTCTAATGTAGGCACCAGCTGCAGCCAGGAGGACCTGGGGGAGGGGTGTGCTCACATAGGAGCTTCTCTGTCTTTCTCCCACCCTGTTCCCCCCAGCCATCACAGAGGTTGCTAACAAGGTTTTCAGAACTGGTGATTCAGGAACAGCTTGGTACTTCCCCTTTCTGCTGAACTGCATTCCTCACAGAGGAATCCTTGCAGCAGAGCTGGTCCAACAGAGCGGAAAGAAAGAGAGAGCAGAGCTGCCTCTTCTGCCTCCTTTAGGGAAGAACCACTACCTAAATGCTTGAAAAGTAGATGTGCAAAGCTCACAAGGGCTTTTCAATGTGAGAATAAAATCTGAAGTTAAGAAAGAAACTGCAACAATGTGTTCAGAAGCTCTGGGAAATACTGAGAAGGCGTATGCATCCAGCATGAACATGAAAGAAATACTCACATTTAATCTCCTGACAAACTTTCCCTACTCTCCATCTAACTAGAAATAATCAAAATGTTCAGAGCTACGGGGGGGGGAGCCTACGAATGAGTGCAGGTCACCAGCTTTGAAAAACTTCCCCTTGGACTCTTCCAAACTTAGGATTCAGCCCTGCAAAATTGTTTTTCAGCATTTCTGAAGGCCAGTGTGAGCCCAGAAACTCAATTCATGGCTAGAGATGTTCAGCAGCTAGCTGGGGGTCCCATGTGAACTTTCTCTGGGTCAGGAGCACAACGTGTCCCTGCAGCAGATATCTGGGATGGCAGGATTAAGGCTGTTATCTAAGGCAGTTGCAACCATGTCATGTAACTGCCACCTAAAACTCTGAGAGCTGAACAAGCAACATCTGCAGGACTGTCTGGTTGGTACCTTTTTGATTCCCAGTGGGATATGTGGGCGCTTGTCCAACAGCAAGGAGCTGCATAGTGTCACTTGCCTAAATCAAATCTGGAATGAATTAAGGACAGACACAAATAATAGTTCTTACTGTCAATATATCATTGTGAAGTGTCACAGTCTTAGGTGGCTGTTCTGTTGTTTCTGTGTTTAATTGTACTCTTCCAGAGAAAGCTCAAGTTCTAAGGCTGGAAGTGACTATGTGACTGCATCTAAAGTGGGATGATCTTTCCAGGTATAGCCTGAATAGTAGCTAAAGCCAGATTGAAGAGCTTCATTTCTAATGAGATGTGGAGGCACCATGTTGAGAGCTGGCTATCACCACGTTGGACTGTATGAGAACAGGGATTCACATAACCCCCAAATAACTGCCAGAAGATCTGCACAACCATTAGAGAAACCTGTCATTCAGTTTGAAATGTCACTATTTCCTGTATATGCAATGATGACAAATGCTGGAAAGGTTTGCAATACTTGTCTCTTATTCCTGACATTTTTTGACTTTGAGGCATTGACTCAGCCCTTCCATTGCTACACTTTTCTCTTAGCTGGGCCCTACTGCCATCTAGCTGGGAAATGGATCTTCCTCTGGGGCCTGATCCAATTTCCAATGACATCAGCAAAAATCTTCCCATTTGCTTTAACAGAAGCTGGATTAGGTCCTTGCATCTAGTTTTACTTTATGTTAGGGAGAAAGGGAACATAATGACTGCCTTTTATTCTTAGGATTACTGTGTTTATTTGGATCAAAAATTTACAGATGCGAACCTCACCAGAGCCAATATTGAGAAAATTACTAGCAAAAACTCAAAATGCAGCATCTGTCTCAGGAGAGCTTTCTCTTCTCACCACATGTCACAGAGAACTCTCACGTTCTTTTGCACTGCACAGCCTTAGGATTACAGCACACACAGCACGTTGAGCCACCTGTGCTAAGAGGTCTTTCCATGCAGCAAGCAACACAACATACTGAAGTCAGAGCTGAACCCAACAAACTGGTCAGTCAGTATTCTTTAAAAAGTTCACCGCCTGGCCCTCAGTTTTAGAACAAATCAAATCAAAAGAGACAGATTTAAGGAAAAGTGTTTGAAAGCCACCATAAGAGCACCAAGACCTTACCCACCTCTCCTGATTCAGTCTATTTAGACCTGAGGCTCCAGCTTTTGATTAATTCCAGGATCTTTGCCCTGAATACTTCACAGCAAAGTAGGAAGCAAAAGGAGTTAGCTTAATCCTATTTCCTTACAGCCTTAGTGAGAGGCTTAGAAACAACCTTAGGATCACAGTACTCAGAAGGCCTCCTGTTCTGCTTTCAGACTGTTGCAAGCATGACAGTTCTGCTGTGGTAGATGCTACTCTTTGAAAACTGGGTCCTTGTGATCACCAGCTAATGTAGCTTGTGGCACATCACAGGGCAGGAAGTTGTTTGCAAGGGGGATGAAAGACAATTCCCACATTGCTGGTGCTTCTCCAAGATGGCATTTAGTTTGAAATCGAGTGAGTCAGGGAAACCATCTTTACCCACAGTTCAAAGTCCGGGCACCTGCTGGCACCTGGGGAGTTCAGTTCCAGCCGTTTCCAGCAGTGAATGAACTTGGGATCAGCTCCAGCAATGGAGACGGCTCTCTGCCTGCTGAGCAGATGTCTGGAGACGCAGCCTGTCATGAAAGGGCCTCGGAAGAAGAGCATTCCAAGCCAGCAGGGCAGTGGCGGGGAACTGGTCTCTGTTGCTAAAACTGATCTAGCCCCTGGAGCAGCTGCAAACCTTGGCCTGAAATTGGAGCCTGTACATGGGGACAAAGAATATAAAAGGGAGGATGAGCTTCTCCCCTCCCCCTACCTTCATCACGTTTCCTCTTCTCGCCATTCGACCGAGGAATCCCCAGGATCCCGTTAATGGAGTAAGAGCCCACTGGATCATTGGAGGCACTGGAGACAGGAGGGGATGCTGTGCTGGGCACTGGACGAAAGGAAAAGGGAAAAAGGGGCATCAGGAGAGCAGCACAGCACTCAGGGATCCCCAGCTGACAGTTATGCATGCCACCAGTCCAATAGGAAAGCCTGGGCACTAAGCATATTCCCAGTCCCTCATGCTGAATGACTTACTCTACTATATCCCAGCAAAGCTGCATCCCAGCTTTGCTTGTCCACTTCTATACTGCAGCTTCACAGTCTTCCAGTACAGGGCATTGATAACAAGTAAGTGTATTTCATCAAGAAGCTAGATGTTGTTACATTCCAGTTCAGAGCAGGCTTTCAAGGTAATCGAGTGAAATGCTGCATAGGCCACATTTTGTAGTGACTTAATAGTCCATCCATATTTTACCAGGTCATTTCCTCTCAGCATTTTTTGACCAGGAGTGCACACGTTCTGTGTTAGGCAGACTAGCCTCTTACATGCCCACCTGAAACACTTAGTAAAAAATTACCTTCTTAGCATAGGTTAGGAGCACTTCAGTGCTGGACCAATAAATTCAGTTCCATACTGGAATGACTAGGTGATACATGCTACCACCCAGATTAATGAAAATCCAGTGCCTTCCTTTTGTACTGACCAATATCAACAGGCAGAATGCTCTGGCCACTTGGCTGTCCAAGATTGCTCTTGAATTTCCAATATATCAAAAATGAGAAATTATACAGATTAGAAATGATCCCTTCATGATAATCAGGCCTTTAGAAAATAGAATAGGTAGACCTATGCATCCAGCAGGCATACCTATTGTGTCCCAGTAATGGAGAGAATATCCCAGTTCTCTTACAGGCCACTATTCATCATTCAGCTCATAAAGCACTGTCTTGAAGCAATCAATACATCCAACAGAAGCCTTTCTGGATGAAGCAGAACCTTTCAACACTCTCCAATGTAGACCCATGCTTCCTACTACATCCCAGAGCAATGAGAGACTCCACCAGAAGCACTCACAATCACTACCCCAACTCAGCCATTGCATTCCCTAGACATTGCTCTACTGTTCCAAGAAGGAATATCTGCCAGCTCCATCTGTTGTGATCAGTGATTGCCAGTCCAATAAGCAAGTCCATATTAAAAGGGCATCCAGAAATGCTCTTCCATACTGGCTTATTGTGCTCCTGAATACAGTTTGTGTACAGGATTATATCTACCAGCTCTGTCCCAAATAGATGACCATTTTCTGGTAAATCCTTGTGCAGCAGCAGATTCTCAATAACCAAAAGAATCTAAGAAAGCCTTAGGTCACAAATAAGCCACTGTATTTCACAGTATTCCAGAACACTGCACGTTTTTCCTGTTCTAGTTTGTCACTAGATACAGCTATGATAGCAAGAGCAGACATATCCACCACACAACCCACAGATTAAAAAGTATCTCATCACACATCTAACACAGTACTTTTAAACAGACTAGAGGCATTTGGCCACTTTATTACAGCCTCCATCTTCTGTTCACCTCAACAAACCAGTAAAACTTCTCCCCCAGCAAAAAAACCCCAATTTTCTCAGTGAAATACACCCATGGGATACCTGACTGCAGAGCTAGAACAATGAAGAACTTAGTTGTCAGGCAGCTGTAATATCTTACCCATGTTTGTGTATTACTAGCACTAAGAAATGGACCGGTTCCAGCAATGGGAGGGGAGAGGAGAGAAAAAAATTGGTAGGGGGGAAAAAGAGAGTCAGAGTAAGAACAAGAGAAAAGGTGAAGACTGATGCTTAGACAGGACAGCAGTAAATGCTTCTCTATAGAGAGATGAAGGAGAGCATGAACGTGAAATGGACATTAAGGCAGAATCACTTGGGCAAGTCCTGCTTTGGGCCAGTTTCTCTGTGATTCACTTTTCTGCAATGCAACAGGGGAGACAAAGAATAGAAAACTCTGATTTCCATGGAGGCTTCTTTCCCTCCACCCCCTCCTCCAGTTTGCTCTGCTTAGCATCTGCTTGTCAGACTTTGTTCCCTCAACTAAGCTTCATCCCCATTTCCACTTGACCTGTCACCACCCCTCATGCCAGTCTACTTACCAATAGTATGTCCTGGTGCAGTCACACCTGTCCCACTCCCATCTGGTGTTGGGTGAAAAGGTTGCTGAACTTTGGTTCTGATAATCCTGGAAAAGAGTGAAACACATTCAGAACTCAAATGCATCTTCTCTGTGCCTTTGTAGACCCACAGTCCCAGCTATCAGAACCTGAAGGTTTGATCTGAGCTCTGGGTGCAGCAGAGTGGCTTCATTTGCCTTGTGGTCCTGATTCTACTGCTTTAATAGTCCAGCTCTCAGAGAATCATCCTATTTCTGCTCTCTTGTCTTTATCCCAGACTCGGGTGTTCACTGCATAAAGACGGTGTTCAGTGAGCAAGATAGGATCTTCTGTGTGTAAACAGCTGCATTGTCATTTATGGTCTGATCTGTGAGCATAATCATAATGCAGTCTTTGCAGCTAATAGAGACACTGCTGAATTTACAAATGGTGTACCTTTAATTTTGTTGTCTACCTGAAAAATACTCTTCTTGCAGACTAAATGCTTTGTACTGTGGAAGGCTTGCCCAAAGCCCTTGCCCTTCATAAATGAGGTGAAAGCCAAAGGCATCTGTAGAGAGTGGTGATGGGATATAGATCATCAGGAAAAAAGGTCCATCAAACAGGGCAAAAATTGGTATTTGTCAGGTGGTGAATGAACACAGCACGGGAACTCAAAAAGACATCACAAAGCTTATAATGTATCTAAGAATGACAATAAACTGAACTGTAATTGTCAGTGCTCTGTTTCTTGTTACATAAAATCTTTCTCTGGTTTCAATCCAGCTGAGGTCAAAGAAAATCACTAGTACCTAGTACCTGACTGGCAAGGTCCCTGACTACTGGCAGATATCGGGTATCTGTGAGTTGGGAACAGCTCTTCCACCAAGGAACTCAGTAAATAAGCCATGACCTGTGAAGGCCATGGAAACCATCTTCCTTTCTGAGATTAGAACAAGTTTCTCCTCTCTTCAGCCACTCCAGTTAGGGTGTAGGCTGCAGATTCTCTTCAGTCTGAGCTTCTGGAACTCTTAGCCCTGCATTATATTAGCTTTATTTTCTACCCAAAAATCTCTCCAGAAAGTGAAAGCAAGTAGAAGATTCTTCCTGCCTACTTGAGAGCTTCCCTTAAAAATTTGTTCTAAAGAATAAGTTGGCAAAACTTCAAAGAGCAAATGTGTGGCTAGTGGTTGATGTGGCATGGATAGAGATAGGCAGAGACATTGCGAGGGCAATTTTTAAAAACCACAACTTCTGAGAGTGAAGCCTTCTTATGAAAAGAAAGAGAACATCTCAGCATGTTAGAAAACTCTGCTACATGCTTGATATTGCCTGACCAGTAGCTGGAGTGCCCAGGACATAGCTGGAGACAGAGAATGTCAAGATTCTAGATGAGGATGGAGATCCAGATCCTCACTTCATATAGATCAGTGGTACCAGGTGCCCTAATCTATAGTTGCTGAGAACCTATACAAAAAGTGTTTGAAGGCCTTGGAGCCAGATTCTGAGGTCATACAATTTGTACTAGGTGAAGAGCTGATCTGAAAAGTGTGCTACAGCAAAAAATACAACTTTTTTTCTTCTTTTCTGTTTTTTTCTTTTTTCCCCTCTTGTCTCACGTTCCCCCTAAAACCCCCTGAAGTGCCACTCTGGTTGTGTGAGTTTATTGATTTCCCCCAGCCCAGAGAAACAGAAAAAGGGGATGGGGTGCAGGCAAAGGGATGGAAATAGAAAGCTATAAATTATTTGTGACAGGAAAGCAATAGTGCCAGAGTGCTGAGCACAAGTCCCGTGTCACTATTAGATTCCTTTTAGCCTGATGACACTGTAAAAGAGGTTAAGTGTCTGATGGAATCGTACACCTTGGGGGCAGGGGCAGTCCAGGAGCAGAACAAGCCACACAGAGCAGGTATATCAATTCTCCACGCCAATAATATTCCCCTCATTGATCGCAACACAAAGTTCAAAAATCTCATTATAGCTAGGCAGTCCTGGAACTTTTTTAAAATCAATAGAGTGATATAATATATGTATACTTTGTATAAATGTTTCTATCCATCCATCTATCCGTCTATCCAAAATCTGCCTGAGGGTGTCTAAGTTAACCTACACATTATACTGTGTTATGTTCTATTGTAATGTAGCATAGTGAATGGATTCGAAGATTTTCCCTGCAGCCTTAGATGACATATTATAAAACGTCCTGTTAGCACTGAGGTGACATCAGACGATTCCATTCATACTGAGATATGACATCAGATTTACCATTTGTACTGGGAGATGGCACCAGACAGCTCAGCTTCTACTGAGGGGAGCCATAAGATGAGTCTAATTATACTGAGATGGCAGATCAGGCTGTGCTGAATCATGCTGCATGAAAATTGCAAAGTTTCAAAAACCCATTTAGAGTAAAAACAGCCTGTGAAACACTGCAGGTATAAAATGCCTGTCCATAATATTCCAAAACCCAGGCAGGGGATGAAGAGGAAGGTTCAATTTCCTTCCCCATTCAGTTTGAGATCTCTTGGCTGAGAACACCAGTTAGTGCCAGTTGTGACTGTGTTTACTGAGATGTGTCCATTAGGAACTGGAATGAAACTCACCAGCTCATTGCACCAAGTAGCTGTCAGCTGGTAATGATTTTCGGTCACTACCAAGCAGGGCCAGATTTCTGCTAGTGACCCAGAGGTGAAAGGCTCTGTTCAAAAACATTCCCTTCCTAAGAATGAAACTGGTTTTATGTCAAAGGAAAGTATCTGGAAACTGAGCAGAGGGGAGCAGTTCTGGTTGTGCAGCGTTCAGTGACTTGGATCAAATAATTTTTGGCATCAAATGCACAGTGAACCTAATGAGGTATCTGGTAGAACATATTTTCTATGGCTAAAAGAAGAGGCAGGTCTTGAAAAGACTCTCCCCAGCAGTGTTCCTTTGCCCTAAAGTCATGACTGAACTTTGGTGTTTTAAGGAAAGAGGGGAAATTTCAGGATCCTAATGCTCAGTACAGAACATAGCAGTGCATCCCCTTGGGTCGATTCACTTAGGGACAGTGATAAACAGCAGAATAGCTAGGCAGCACTGCTGCTGCTTTGAGAGGCTTCAGGTGAGTCTGTCCTACACAAGACCACCTAATGAAACAGCAGATGAAAGATGAACAGAGCTGACCTGGCCCCGTAGCAACAAATGCAGCATAATAATGCTGTCTTTAAACTTCAATATTGCTGAAAGCTTCTCACCCTTACCAGGGATTGAAATACTCACTAAGCCAGCTCTGCTGCCTCAAATCTAGGATTTCTGGATTACTGCTGTATAAGAGGTCGCAAAACCTCAATCACCTCTTGCTGCCTTTGATGGCTTGTTCTTGCCTTCAGACACTGGAGAAAGACAAGTCTTGCAGATTACATTCTCAGCCCTTTCCAAAAGCAGAAAGGACACAAGTTCTGGCACACCAGTTAGCAGTGCTGATTTCTTGAGATAAACGCCAATATTTTCAAACATCTTTTCCAAGAAAAATTGACCCTTTGGACTCAATTCATCCCTGCTCTAATTCCATCACAATCAGTGACTCCAATAACAGCATTTGTATTTAATTAGGAACATAAACTGGCACTCACTGTAAATTCCCATTTTTCATTTTCCAGTTGGAGATTTTTGCACAAGTTGACTACTTTGAGTTTTGGATAATATAAACAGATTTAATACATAACCTTCTGAAGTTTCAGCAACAGGACATTTATAGATCTTTGATTGCAGTAAAGCAACTGAACTTCATTTCACAATCTGAATTTAATATGCAATATTATGTTAAGTGATGGCATATAATGTCATTACAGTAAATAGTATCATACTGTGAATTATACATCCATTCTGGAATTCATGAGTTGCCATAGTTGGCTTGTAGTAACTCCTTCTAGACTTAATATTACATACAGCACCAGCTGAAACCAACTGCTTATTTCCAAATGCCTTTGATTTCCTTAATGTTCAATGTTAGATAATGAATTTCCAGCGTTTGATTTTTATTTCATTATTTTTGTCAACTTTCATGGAATTCCTTTTCCTGATTCTGAATACAGATGGACAGACAGAAATCTTCTCTTCTAGTATTACAATTGTAACAAGCTTTAATCAAGAGATGTAACAAGAAATATTAGAAGTTAAAATTAGCTGAACCAGAGTGCTTTCTGAGGACTTTCACTCCTCGTAGACAAGCAAGTAAAAAATCACTTCTAAACTTGTCCAGAAATTACTTGCTAAAAGAATGACAGATCATAGAAAACTCACCTTGCTTCTCTGACATTTCTATCCAAACTCTCTTATAGCTTAACATACTCTGTAGTTTCTTCTCTCTCACTATTTTGACAGTATCTCTTATAAAAAACCCCATCATACTAGGGCTGATCAGAGGGAGATAAGGCAGGACTCAATAATCTGGAGTTGCAATCTAGCAATTATTTTAATTATTTTAATCCTGGAAGAACAGAGTGAAGTTGAACTGAGGGAAGGAGTGGTGTGTCCTACTGCCTCAAGAAGACCCTGACAGATTTCAGAAAGCATTGGTATCCTCACTTCGATCATATTCCTTTGTCGTGGATTATTTTTGAGAGCGGAAGGATGCACTCAGCAGAGCACCTAACTCCTTGTAATTGTTTTGGAGTATTCATATTTTAAATGCTCCACATTAGAAGCACATTACAAGACCCCAGGGTGTGCATTACTGGGCAATTAAAGCGGTTCTTGGAAGGCTAACATTGTGAAGCTTCAGCCTTTTCTCTGCGCTGTGTCCAGGGGAGGCTGTGATGGCCAAGGCACACACACCCTGCTGTGCCGCACCGCTTAATTAGAGCCGGGCTGCGCTGCTGAGCGCGGGCTGTGCCTGCGGGGCACACGGGGCTGCGCTGAGCCAGACACCGCAGCCTCCTCTGCCTCAGATGGCTTCTGCAAAAGGGCTTGTGACCATCCCGGCGGTGCTGGCATAGAGCGGCAGCGTGGGATGAGAAGAGGCGGCTTTGGGGTCTTTGGTGAAAGCCCCCATGGAGCCAACAGTATCCCACCTGCAGATTGGTGCTGCAGAGGCACAAAGAGCTCTGAA